AGAGGTGGACCGCTGCACCGGGCGCCCTGGGCGGGGATGGCGAACCAAGGCGGGAGTCAGAAGGAGCATGCCCCACCGTCGGTCTCAGCGAACAGGTCCTGAGAGATGCTCATCATAGACCCTGGAAAGTTGGTTCAGACCAGAAGCCCGGGCACAGCTTTTGCACCGTTCATCTGCTGTCATTGAGATGCTAAGCGCGTTCATTCCAGCTGCGCCCTCAGTCTGGGGGCTGCGGGCTAAAGCTGCCAAAGGTCCAGGACCCTTTAAACTACAACAAGAGAACCTTTAACCTGCACTTCTCCCCAGGATGGAGGAGGAGGAGCGTGGCTGCGGACTCAGTGGTCCCAATCACACATGAGCGCGCGCGCGCACACACACACACACACACACACACACACACACACACACTTGCCCTATCCCCTACACTAGCATGGGCAAGGAATAGGAAGACTTTCTCCTGACCCCTGGAGCTTAGTCTGAAAGACAGGAAAAACCAGTAAGAGATTGGCTAACGCTAGAATGTCACATGTTCTCATAGTCAACTTTGACGCCTTCAGGATTGATACTGAGAGATAAGCTGAGGAAATTCTAGCTCTAAAATTCTAATAATTTGTAAATTGTCCCATAGGAAGATTTGCTGGGGCGGGAGGGGGGGGCTTATTGTGGTAAAATGTAATTCACCATTATCAATTTAAGTGTATAGTTCAGTGTCGGTAAGTGTGTTTACTTCGTTGGGTGCCTATTTTTTAATCGTTAGTAAAAATGTCAAGAAGATCTAAGTATAGCAAGAAAGACCCTAGTAATAGGCAAACTACTGCAGGAAATGAAGGCTGTTTCTTTGGCTGAAACACCCCATCCTGTACGACTACCCACAAACCAGATTGACTTTTCCAGAAATGACTTCATAAACACAGTGAGTGTTTAGCAACCATACACACCCAGCTAGTGTCCACAGGCCATTTGGGGAGAGTAATCCATCGTGCCTAGATAAAAAACAAAATTTTTCTCAACTGATTCTCCAACTGTTTATATATACAGACTTTATGTATCAAAATTAAAAATGGCCACATTGTCTAAAAAAATAAATAAATGCAGCTCAGCTGGCATGGCTCAGTGGTTGAGCGCCAACCTATGAACCAGGAGGTCATGGTGCAATTTCCAGGGGGGGACATGCCCAGGTTGCTGGCTCAATCCCCAGTGGGGCGTGTGGGAGGCAACCGATCAATGATTCTCTCTCATCATTGATGTTTCTATCTCTCCCTCTCCATTCCTCTCTAAAATCAATGAAAATATATTTTTAAAAAAAATAAAAATAAGTAAATGCTGTTGAAATCTACTCTCCCACCCTTTTTCTGTCTTTAGCCACTTCACAGTCCACACGCTTTAACTAGGACCACAAATGGGCTTGCCTTTCCAACCTGACCTCCCATCAGTCTCTTAGACATTGAACAGAACAGTCACATTTACTTATGGGGCTGCATCCATGCCAGTCACTTACCTGCCTTTGTGAGTTAGATCCATCTGCAGCAAAAGGCTCTCCCCCCACCCCTGCATTTTCAAATCCTACCTATCTTCCTAGATGATGACTCATCTGCCCTATAAACTCCTGTGCTGTAGGAAGGATACATGTCTTGGAGTTTTCAAATTTTACCTTTCATTGTTTTATGCCATTTTGTATGTTAGTATAAAAATCTGAAATATTAACTGAGCCACCCCACCCAATAGCTCTGCATACACACACACACACATTTCCATGTCCGCTGCCCCTAGTCTTTTCCTCCGCCCAGAGAGCTAGGGCATGTCCTTCCCTGCCTCAGGGAGAAAGAAGAACGAAGTTCTCAAAGGTTTGTTTAGTAGATATATGGAGCTCATGGCAGTGACAGCAGTTCATAAGTCATTTTGGTTTGGGATATCTGACTTCATGAGTTTAGCTCCTAAAGAGCTGAAAGAAAAAAGAAATTAGACCACAAACAAAGTATTAGTTCATTTTGCTGTAAAAGCAAACAACTCTAATATCTCAATGGCTTATAGCTATGAAGGTTTATTTCTTGCTTGGATCCCATGCTATGGGACAGCTCATGGGTCTTCTTATTCCAGGTCCAAGACTGAAGAAGCAGACGCTATATATGACTTGACAATTCTCATGGCAGATGGGAAGAGCCAGAAAACTGTGGGAAATGTGAGGGCTGCAAGATGCTTCTCCAATGTGTCATGGCATGCCCACTCAAATCCCATTCACCAAAGCCTTTCATATGGTCAAACCCCAAGTCAATGGAGAACTCTACTGCCTCTGTCATCAAATCACATGGCAGTGAGCTTGGATTATAATGTGTCTTACAGGGTGGTGATGGTGGTGATGGGGTTAATTGTAAAACAATAATGTAATCTGCCACAAACACAGGGGAACCAATTTTCTCACTCTAGCGGTATTGGCATGTATCCCCAAGAAGAGCTTTGTACCTCCCCCATCTCCAGCCCCTGGGATTAGCTTCTTTTGAAAGAACTTATGTAGATAGAAATTTTAGGACCCCATATGTGTTTTAAGATCTGAAGACAGAGTCCAGCTAATGAGGCTCAGTGGTTGAGCATTGACCCATGCACCAAGAGGTTAAGGTTTGATTCTTGGTCAGGGCACATGCCCGGGTTTTGGGCTCCATCCCCAGTAGGGCATGTACAGAAGGCAACTGATTGATGTTTCTCTTTCATCAATGTTTCTATCTCCCTCTCCCTGCCTCCCTAAAAAATCAATAAAAATAAAAGATCTGAAGACAGAGATCTAAGCTCTATCCCTAGGGTGACTAGGGAATCAGAAAAGCAACCAAGGTCCTAAGGTTTCTCTCTAATAAGCTAACAGAGAATAGAATCTATATATATAAAAGCCTAAGCGACCGTTACGACCAGACGACCAGCCGGTAGCTATGTCACACACTGACCACCAGGGAGCAGATGCTCAATGCATGAGCTGTCCCCTGGTGGTCAGTGCACTTTCACAGCCTCCTGCAGCTGGCCAGCCTCCCTTGGTCCCTTCCCCCTGCTGGCCGGCCAACCTTGACTGGCCCCCATTGCCAGCCAGGCCAAGGAACCCCACCCATGCATGAATTCGTGCACCGAGCCTCTAGTGTTTACATAAAATATTTGGGCATGAAGAGCCAGAGGAATATGCCCAAACCTGTCCAAGATTTAGTATTTATGGCGTTAAAGACCATTCAAAGGGGCTGAGAGAGGACTCTAGAGGGTTGAAAGGCCCAGACATCAGAATAAGGAAGGACAGAGCTGAGTACATAGGTCAGTGATCCAAACACAGTGGAAAATTGAATGTTAACTTCCAAGGCCAAAGCCAAGGGTGTTTGCATCTGAGAACTGGATATCTCCCCTGCACCTACCTCCCCACCTCACCCTACCCTAACCCCACCCTAAAGGATTTAAAAGATACCCTCTGAAGAACAGGGGAAGTCGTGATAAAGTGATTATATTTAAACCAGAATTGATTTGGGGACAGGAGAGATTTGCGGGTAACAGAAGTGCATGTGGAATTGGCTAAATTAAATTTTCTGTCCTTAGGAAAAATAGGACCTCAACATTCAGACTTATTTCAGTTATCTTTAAAAATATTTTATGACTTGATATGGCATACATTACTAGTATATTTGTACCATCTTGTTTGATCAAATAAATGGATGGATGAATGAGGTATTTCTGTTTCCTCCCCCTTTATAGTGGGGATTATAGTGCCTGACAGTTGTACTTCATGGAAATGTTGTCTCTTTGGTATAACTATCATGTAGGAAACTGTGAATTAATCAGGAGGAAACTCTCATGTTAAAACAAACATAATTATTTTTTATTCTGCTAGACCCCATACTGAGAAATCAACATTTTGTATTAGATTATTTATTTACTAAGATGATAGTTCTATCACATTTTGGGTGGCATGCTTGAGCCTTTGGGTAATCTGGACCAGACATCTTTATGCTGTCCCCAACATCAGATAAAAAAGGAAGTACTCATCCATCTCCATAGACTGATACAATTTGCCAGGTCAGATCCCCTCTGGAATGTAAATTTCCATCATCCTTTGAGACACTATATTCTTTACTCTTATACACAGGCCATGACACATTATCTTCCAGATCTACTTCTTTCTTTTAATAATCATTGTAGCGTGTCTGGAAAGAAAATACTATAAAAATTTAATACTGTAAATTGTCTCTCTCTCTGCTCTTCAACACAGTCCTTCTTTTACAATCAAAGCAATACAATACAACAAAAATCTCAAATTAAGCAAAATAACCTCTCAGGAATTTTAGTAACATTCTAACACTTTTTAACTTAAAAATAAAACATAGAGGAATAGTAGAAAGAGTGGCAAGATTTTCCTGAATCCCCTGATTTAAAAAAGTAGACAAAGTTACTAGCAAAACCAAAAGTCTATAGACAGCTACTCAATGAAGTACCCACCGCACTCCTATAATTGATGATAGAGATAATCCATCAAGAGATACAAGAGTTGTGTAGCATCAGCAAGAAAAAGCGGAGGGAAAACACAACAGGGCTTCGGACAGACTGAGAAATACCCAACTAGCTGGCAGGGACTCACTGGAAGACTCGGTGGACCAATTTGAGAACAGAAGCGGAAACCGAGAGGAGCTTTGCACATTCCAAGAACAGATGCATGCATGGGTATGTGGTGAGTTCTGAAGGGACTGGAACAGTTAACGGCCCATAAACTCTCGGAACTAACTAATCCTAACTCCATGCCCCAAAATAGAGTCTACATGCT